AACGAAGTGGAGGCCGGCTCCAGGAACGGGACTTGGTCGGAGACGACCGAGGCCGGCCATGGCGACTCGCAGCCTCCGCAAGCCGGCGGCGATAGGAGATGACCCAATCTACAACCATGAGGGGCGCACGAACGAGGAGCGCCGGATCCTTCGCTGGATCTGTCCTGTTGGGGAGATGAGGAAGACGAGAGGGGAGGGGACGGGAGGCGGCTGCTGAGAGGAGTGGCTGAGGGGTGTCTGAGAGAGGCGTCGGTGTGGGATTAGGGTTTGGGTGTTATTTTATAGATCGGAGGATTTGTAGGGGCGGCTGGTGAGTAAGCCGCCCCTACAAATCAGACTTATTTGTAGAGGCGGCTCGTATCACCAGCCGCCCCTACTGTTTTATTTGTAGGGGCGGCTGGTCTCTGGGCTCCCGAGCACGTCACTGTAGGGGTGGCTCCATCACTAACCGCCTCTACAAAAAAATTGTTCCGTTGCTACAAATCGTTTTTCACATAGTGTCTGGGGCTAGCCCTCGGCAAAGACCCCCTTTGCCGAGTGCCCGAGATATGACCCTCGATAAAGCCAGAAGCCCTCGGCAAAGAGGACGTCTCCGGTAGTGATTCTTGAGTGTTGCCAACTTATCCTCAGATTCAGATAACATATATAGGCTGTTGCTTAGGCTTCTCGGTATCGCCAAACTTTGTCCTATCATTAGCTAGCTTAAAGGAGCTTCTGAATGTATCTTTCCCTTGAGGTCTAGCCTTGGAGCGGCCCAACTCCACTTCTTGCAGAAGTGGCAAAGCACTTGCCGTGTCCACATCAGGTGGCCTGTGCAGAACAATTCCAGAGAGAATATCCTCCTTGAGTCTAGCATGAAAACGCATGACAAAGTAGGTCTCATCATAGTTAGGATTATAAAGCAATAGATTGTGAGCAGCCTGCTCAAACTCATCCGCTATGTGTAATCAGAAACTGAAGCCGTCTGAACCGTGGCTTCAAACTGCTTCAGAACCAGGGGGGTATTGATCCTTGTCAAAGCGCCGCATCACCAATTTGCAAAGAGTTGGCCAGTCTGTGATTCGCTCGCGCCGTTCCACAGTGTGCAACCAAGTCTTCGCCGTGCCGATGAAATTCAAGGCAGCCATGCGTGTCTTTAACGAGGGGGTGCACCGCATAGACCTCGAAAAACATTGTACACTGATCTTGCCATAAGCGCAGATTCGATCCATCAAATTTGGGAAACTCAAGCTTAGGAAACGGCGGGGAACGTGGAACAGAGTCCGACTGAAACGAATTCGCGGGTGGAGTTTCAATGAACGTACCCTCCGGGAAGAAGGACTGCGGTCGGGATCCTTGGATCCCGCCGCAGTGCTCGTCGTGCCCCTTGGGCCGCTCCGCGTCCATCACAGGTGAGCGTGATGACGATCCCGGAGCAATGTTGAGATCTAGACTGCGCGGTGGAGGTTGCACGGTCGTGGTCGGCAATGGTCGGCCCAGCACACCCGGTCCAGGAGTTATCCCCGGCTGCGGTGGAGCCTTCAACGCGTCGATGCGCAGCCCCAGCAAGTCGATGCGAGACGACGTGTCGCCGAGGGTGGTCGTCGCCGTGTCGGACAAGCTGCGCAAATCCTCGAGCATCGTCTCAGCAGACACCTGACGCGAACCCATATTGTTCACCGTGTCGAGCGTCTGCTTCATCATCTCCCGAAGACCCTCGAACTGCTTGGCCAGCCCGCTGAAGGAGTTCATCTGCGTCGCCATGTCGTCCAACTTGGAGGAGAGTTCTTCCACCGACGCCACCATCTGCAACTGCAACTTCGTCGGCTTAGAGGCAGGCGCCAGGACGAGGAATTGGCGGGGAAGAAAAAAATTTCTGCCCCAAATCAACGGCTCTGGATACCAATTGTCACGTTCCGGATCAGAACGAGACGGATAACTGGGTTGAATTGGAGTTTGAGGTAGAAATCAGCAGGGAATTTGGGACGGAAGCAAGAACAGGGGTACTTTAGAAGAAGAACGAATTCAGAGTTCGGGATTTAGGATTCGGTTATTCGATAGTTCTATCATTCAGTTACAATGGCTTATATACGCGCTCTTCCACCGACTTACACCGGCCCAATCTACTAAAGCCCCATGAATCAAACTAATCGTCTGGAAATTCAAGTACTGGCCCATCAACCACTTGCTGAGCCGTTCACGCCTATTGTCGGATAAGTTTCAGACTTCTTCTTAGCTGTCTTAGCCGGCTTGGTCCTGACAAGCATGTGGAACCTACACGATCGAGAGGTGGCTCAGCGTGTACATGGCCGGGTCGCGGGAGCGGGACGGCCTCGTAGTCGTAGAGAAGGAGAGAAGGCCAACGGCAACGCTAGGTACATCAACGACTTCAACAAGAAGGACGTACGTGGCGTACAAGGTCTGCCTCAACAAGTTCTCCGACCTGACCCAGGAGGAGTTCGGCCGCATGCAAGTACACCGGTGGCAAGGTCGAAGCCGACGACGACGATAGCTACAGTGGTGCGTCCGAGGAGCAGCCGCCCGCCGGCGACGAGTCGGCCGACGACGAGTGGGACTAGAGAGACTATTGTGTTGTCACTCCTGTCAAGGACCAAAGGAACCTGCGGTGCGTACGGATATGTGTATGTGTATGTAATCTGTATTCAAAATGGCACGTAGCAGGAGTCGATGTTTTAAATCTCCCGCTATAGCTAGCGTCATCGTCCATGACGTCGGCTTCACCCTTGCCACTGCTGTACGTGCGGTCGAACTCCTACATGGAAATCGGAGAATATGTTGAGCTTGTAGGCCACGTACGTCCTCCTTGTTGAAGTAGTTGATGTACTTGGCGTTGGCCTTGAACACCTCGAACGTCCTCTCCTTTTCAGGACACGTGCCTTCTATCCAAGGTGGGCCTGTACGGAGGCGCGGTGCAGGGGTGTGTACCCAATTATTTTCCTTCTCCGCGAGATCATCCTGCGACATCGCCGTTTACACGTAACACGTTGAGCCGGCCACCTCTCTCGTATATATATGGGCGTATTGGTTCCACATGCTCTCCTCCGACTCCAGGTGGTCCACCTTGTCCGTCAATGGGACATCTCCTACTTCCATGGTCACCATTGAAGCCAGCATTGCTGCTGCTGCCAACACAACCACTCCCATCTTCTTTTTCTGCACCTTCATCATCTTTCGGTATATGCTACCGCCAAACACAGCAGGGCAAGAAGTTGTTTTTTTAAAAAAATCCATATGTTACCGATCCAGATGTGCAAAGTGTGCATACAACGTCCTTATATTAATTTCACTTTCTCTCCCGCCAAAGAGTTAGCTCAAACACAAATTAAACGCGAGGCCACGGTTCGACAAATTGAAGGCACCAAGAGAGAGAGAGGGGGGAACAAGGCGAAGCTCACCACGACTTCAATCGGGGCGGGGATGAACCGGAGATGATGAATGACGAACAATGGCGGCTCGCGAGCTCGCGGTCCTCCCTGTTGCTGTGGTTTGGTGCTACGGTCTCCAAAGAAGAAGAAAACTGCAGCGGGGGGCATGATGGGGTCTGGCCCTCTTTTCTAGAGACCGAGGACACGGACGAGGCGCCCACAACGCGAAGTGGAGCGGCGGTTCCGCCCTGACGGCGCGCAACGTGGAACGGCTGGAGGTGAAAGGCGGCGCTGACGGCTGGGCCTAGGCTGTCAGCGGTAGGGAGAGGGAAGGGGCGCGGCAACGGCCGCCTGGTCGAGCTGGGCCAGCCCACGAAGGGAAGAGGGGAGGGCGTGCGGCCGCGGGGAAGGAAAAAAGCCAATCGGGCCCAAAGTGGGGAAGGGAGAGAGAAAAGAAAGAAATTCCTTCCTTTTTCCAAACAAATTTTTCAAACTCATTTTCAAAAGTTTTTAAAACCTTTTAGCATTTGAAACAAAACCACCCATCACAGAAATAAATTTGCAACAGCATGAATGCATCAACATGTTTCTATCCTTATATTTACTTTTAATTTCATAAAAAATATTATTTCCTAAATTTGAAATGCATATATAATTGCATAAATAAATCAAATTTAACTATTTTAAAATAATGCAAATTTTAGGGTATTACATTTTCCCCAATGAGTTTTCCGAAGGTTCATAAAAATGCATAATAGATGAACAGTAAAGACTATAAGGAGCTAATTGATCAAGCGGAGTGTTGAGAATTATTATTTAGTACTCAATTAGGGATTATTCTAAGGGGTGTCTTTTTCTCTCTCTCTCTCTTTCACACTTGTAACATCCCCACATGGGCCCTATATATATGTACACACTGTTCATTGGAAATACAACAGAGACCATTTTGCATCTACTCGCTTTGTCTTGTTCTCTACTTTCTAACAAGTACCACACTTTTAGTCAAGGCTTGATCAGGCCATAAGCCTCGTCCTATCACCGCCGGTTCTAGGAACCAGCACCGTCAATTACCCTTTATTGGGTCTGATTCCAATAGTAACCAGCATTGTCGATTACCCTTTGTCGGGTTTGATTCCAATAGTGATGCTTGGTTTGGACCTGATAGTGATCCATGGACCAAGAATAGTGAGACCAGGAGAAAAACTTACCCTATAATTATCTTGCAATAAGGGAATGGTTTATTCAAACCAGACACTACACACTGTTTTATTCAAACCATACACATACATATACACTCCGCTCTATCTAAGGGGCTTGATTTCTCTAGGTGAAGCCCGGCAAATGCTAACTCAAAAAATGATTTTATGAGAGAAGTTCCAGAGGAAGAAACCATTTTTATACTACAAAAGTGAAGCCATTGCTTCTCTCTGACTTATTGGTGAAACCGGTTATGAAGAAACCTCATAGTCAGTATATCTATGTCTTTTTTTCAGCTGCTCTCGTCGTCGAAAATTTATTTTTGAAAATAGAGAAAACATATTGGAGGCTTAGTCGAGTCTTCTAATTTATTTTCCATGGTTGTTCACAGGAGTAACAGCATAATAGTCTCTCTAGCCCCACGCGTTGGGCATCAGGTCACCGGCAAGCGGCAGTGACCGGCGGCTGCTCGTGGGACGCGCCGCTATAGCTAGCGTCATCGCCCATGACGTCGGCTTCACCCCTTGCCACTGCTGTACGTGCGGTCGAACTCCTACATGGAAATCGGAGAATATGTTGAGCTTGTAGGCCACGTACGTCCTCCTTGTTGAAGTAGCTGATGTACCTGGCGTTGGCCTTGAACACCTCGAACGTCCTCTCCTTTTCAGGATACGTGGCTTCTATCCAAGGTGGGTCTGCACGAGGCGCGGTGCAGGGTGTGTACCCAATTATTTTCCTTCTCCGCGAGATCATCCTGCGACATCACCGTTTACAAGTAACACGTTGAGCCGGCCACCTCTCTCGTATATATATGGGCGTATAGGTTCCACATGCTCTCCTCCGACTCAGGTGGTCCGCCTTGTCCGTCAACGGGACATCTCCTACTTCCATGGTCACCATTGAAGCCAGCACAGCTGCTGCTGCCAACACAACCACTCCCATCTTTTTTTCTGCACCTTCATCATCTTCCGGTATACGCTACCGCCAAAACACAAAGGGCAAGGAGTTGTTTTTTTATAAAAAAATTCATATGTTACGGATCCAGATGTGCAAAGTGTGCATACAACGTCCTTATATTAATGTCACTTTCTCTCCCGCCAAAGAGTTAGCTCAGACACAAATTAAACGCGACGTTCTTTTATGATGTTTCGCAACGACACATCCGATAATAAGACAAAAAAAAAGGAGGAAGTATATTTTTATTTTATTATATATATGCGTAGACGAGTCCGTATACACCTACTCATCATCATGCACGTAGTTTAAACATCTAGGTAGTAGATAGGTCCCAGTAGCTAGCCACAGGAGGCGGCGGCGGGCACCGGGCACCGGGCAGGGCCGGTCAATTACTTATTCTTGATGGGGTACATGGGCGTCTTGTATATGCCGCAGAGACCCGCTTTGGTACCCACGTTACGCTTCATCCGGATGTAGCCATTCTCGCCCCAGCCCTTGCCCCACGAGTTCTTAACGATCCAGTAGTCCACACCGTTCGCCGTAGTTCCGTAGCCCACGACCAGGACCGCGTGGTTTAGACGCGTCCCGCAAGGCCCCGTGAAGACGCCCTTACTGTAGCGACTGAAGGCGCGGTTGGCCTCGATGGCGACCAACACCGGCTGCTTGTACACGCGACACAGCAGCTGCGCCTCGGTGGTGTCTCTCATCATTCTCTTGCCGTTGATCTTCACCACAGGCTTCCTCTGCAGCCGGGCCGGGCATGCATGCATTTAGAAATGAGATTGATTATTTATATATTTTTCTTCTCAAAATTAAACTATATATGTGTGCACGCACCGGGTTGAATCTGCACTTCTTCTTCTCGGCAACGTAGGCAGGGTAGTACGGAGGATTCCCGTGCTGGTCTAAGGCCAACCCGGGGCTGATGGCGTGATCGAATGCCCGGTACGGGTCCCCACCTTTACAGGTCCCGGCGCCGGAGCAGTCGAGCACCTCTTGCTCCGACAGTGTCCGCAGTTTCCCTGTCTTGATTGCGTTGATGCCTCCACAGAACCCACCATCGAGAAAGCCCAACAGCTCCCTGCATGCATGCATACACAACATGTTTTTAACATATATATACGTATATATGGAATAGTTCTTTAGTTAAATTGTAAGTTGATATATTTAGATATAGCACGTATTTATAAATTAAAGCATGCGTAGCAAAAGTTATATATACGCATGTATAAATAGCCAGAACATGCATGGAAACTATATATATATACACACACGCACGCACCGCAGTTTCTTTGGTTCTTCACTGGAGTGACAGCTCCGTGGCGTCTCCAGTCCCACTTGGCCGGCACCTTGCCGGCGGCGGAGGCCAGCAGCTTATCGTCGTCGACCGTGCTACTGCTGAGGCTGACGTTGCCGGCGTCTTCGGGCAGCATGGCTCCGGTGTACATGCCGCTGTCGAACTCCTCCTCGGTCAAGTCGGAGAACTGGTTGAGGCCGAGCTTGTACGGCTCGTCCTCCCTCTTGTTGAACTCGTTGATGTGCCTAGCGTTCTCCTTGAACGTGTCGAACCTGCTCGGCTTCTCCACGAGGTCCAGCGACCCGTTGTACACGCTGAGCCACCTCTGGTATAGGCTCCACAGGCTGGCCTCCGACTCCAGGTCCTTGTCCGTCACCGGCACGAGTTCTGCCGCCGCCACGGCCACCACTGCAGCCAGCAGCACTGCTGCTGCTGCCAACACAACCCCTCCCATCCTCTGCACCTTCATCATATATATTGCTTGTGTTGTGTGGCTACTATGTTTGTGCATGCGTCTATTTATAGAGATTGAAAACCAGCGAACGCTCAAAAACCTCATGACAGATAACCGTACGTACGTGGAGTGGCGTTCTCTAGATAGTCAAAGAAGTAGTGTACTAGTCAACGCATGGATGGAAATTTAAATCACAGTGCACGAATATAATTTTGCGTAACAAAAAGTCGTTCGATGCCTTGTATACAAGGCCAACGCTTAATGGCCCTGTTTGGTACAGCATGCGTACGTACGTAACTGAGCTAGTTTGATCACTTTTGGTGTAGAATGAGTCTCCAATGTAACAATAGAATGTCTACTGACCTCTCCCGTGCTTTTTTTCCCTCTCCACTGTCCTCCGCCCCGTACGTCCTCTCTCCTCGTGCGACGTGCGACTGGACGCGCGGATCCCGATATCGAAGCAAACGAGATTACATGGCAGTTTTAATTATGGACAAGGAAATATTTAGAAAAGCTCGTTGGAGTGTTTTACTTTAAAGTTTGGTGTTTTTTTTATTTTAGATAGATAACGGCTAAAATCATGTAATTAATTTGACATCTCTCTTTAAATGAACACTTGGAGTTGCTATCTAGCTGGACTGCTAAGCGCAATAACGGTCTCTAAGAGCCAACTCTAGCAACTCATCAATAATTTAATCTCCAGTAGAATGATACAGAAGATGAGTTTTTAGGAGGCCACCAAGAAAATGAGAGGCTATTGGAGTGCTGTTGGAGCAAAAAAAAATTAACCTCCTTCGATTAATAGTTTTATGGGAATGAGAGGTCGTATAGATAAACTGCAGGACATACTCTGTGGTGGTGAAATAGACTAGGTACACCGGTGGCCATGTGTAAACACGCCATAATTATTTTATCATTTATTATTATTTTAAATATAAACATATACTAAAATTGGAGTAATCGTACGGTTGGACGACTTCTTAATTCGTCCAATTGAAGGACTACGGTTGGCTGACTTCTTGATTGGTGTACTGGAAGATGATTACTGCTTATCAGCGGACGATTGGTACTAATGGTACTATACCAAAGAATGAACTTCAAGGTTACAGTGCAAGCTAACAAGTTTTTTAGCGTTTCTACAGGAGTTTACAGAAATCAAAGTAAGTATAGAAAAATCATAAGATCTCAAAACCAGTTTTGTTAGGTTAACTGCATGTAAAGTTATATATGTGTGTGCTTGAAAATACAAAATGTATATATATGATGTTTATTTATTTAAAACGTTTAACATATCCAAATTAAAAGTCATCAGAATTGTGCTCTGTCACTAGTTATATTTGGTAATTAACAGTTTCATCCACCGAAGAGATAACATGAGATGACTGCAGAAAATACAGCTATGTTTTGTCTTATTTAGCACGTTGAAAATAGAAAAAATATTAAAATGAAGAATCTAAATTCCCTGCATTGTATAATGTTATCATTTTAAATGTGTTAAACTAGATTCAAAATTAAAAGCTAAAATGTAGATTCATGATGTCTGTATGTCACAAAAGGATGCTGAAGAACTTACAAGGATATGTACAAGATTTCAGAGACAATTTTAAATTGGTTTTCGGAGATGGGCATGGTGTCCGTCTTGGACCACCATCACTATTAATCTGTATATCATGGTGTTTCTCCTTTTTTCTTTGGGTTTTAAAGAGTTTTGCACGATATACCGGCATTACTTTGGTTTTCTGTCACACCCAATTTTAAGGATAAAATTGAATGCACTAAAGTCATGTGTGCCTAGGGATCAGTCACACACATAAGCTGACAAATTATAAAGAGTATCATCACGGTGTATCTTACATCACGATTAAAACATCACATAGTCTTACACAACACAGCGGAAAATAAAAAAAATAGCTCTCTCGTGGTAGCTCCATCATAGGGACGGTCAACTGGTTGACCATAAGCCAAATAGTCCTCAGAGAACTCCTCATATCATTGTCATCTGTTACCCATCCGGAATTTTTATCCAAATATTGAAAGTAAACAAGCGTAGGTACTTCCCGTACTTAACAAGATAACATAGGGTTATGAAAGCTCAAAAAGGATGACACTGGTTTACCGCAGTTAGGACTTTTGGTAAGTCAAGATTTTATCATTAACTATTATCAAGTTATGCTTAAGCCCCAATTAAACCCACGTGATCGGATATCGAATCAATTGTATCATATTATCATCATAGAACATCATAGATGAGCAACAAAAATAACCAGTTATTACGTGAGTTTTTCCGAGCCGCTTTCGTGCCCGTCTTGCTTACGTTATTATAATGATTTATAACCCTCTGCGGAGGTTGTGCACATTCACCGTGAGTCGTGATTTCCATACGTCCGGGTTAATTACTCCCATAACACTTTGCCAAGGTGAGCGGACGGACGAGGTACACTATGAAGCCATTTCATAGGTTTCTCTAACAAGTTAGGGCCGCTAGGTTTCCTCGTGAGCACGGATGTAGGAACCCCCTTTCCTATGGCACATATCCATCAGCGGCTATACACATAGGAACATAGGCAACCCTATACCCAACGTGGCAAGCCCCTTTTGCGCCATAAAGGTAACCTCTAACAAGCTAGAAAAGGTCCTATTACTGAGCCAAAGTCAGAGCCATATGACCCTCACGGTTGCAATCGTCCCCAGCTTTTTGCCGTGAGATAAGTCCCTATGGAGGGCCGAGAGCATCATGATCGAAAGTCATTTGCTCCATCGCCCTATAATTCAGTTGTTTAAAACAAATTTTACCTTTTCGTTCCATAGAACCATCATTCATTATGTAGATCATGTATAGTTACATTGAGCGCTAGCAAACTACCCTTATGCATATAACCCATAGGAGACAAGGAAACAAGATAATCAATCACTAGGATGTCCTTACGGGTATCGTCGAAATTAGACACATGCAAATGAGTAATTAATGAATGGTGAATAGGACATCAAGGTAGATCCCATGCTATACTTGCCTTGGTTAGCAAACTCCAACTGGTCCTGCTGGTCTCAAAAAGAACTCTTGGTCTTCAACGTTTCTCCTCACCGTCAAAACGCGACCAACACGGCAACATACAACATTCCAAAGGCATTCATGCAAAGCAAACAATCCTATAGTTAGAACAGTACACCAGTAGTATAGAAAACAAGTTAAAATGTTTATGAAAAGAATCTATGTCTTGCTACGATCACGTCGACGTGAAGTTCATGAAAATCGGAGCTAAAACGCGAAAGTTATGATTTAAACACAATTTCCTATAGCAAATTAATGGAGTAAACTTAACCATGAAATTTAAAAGTTGCAAACATAATTAACAGTGGTACAAACACGTAGATTATGCAATTACTGAAACTAACGCAATTTGAGCGGGTCGATTTGGAGCTAAAAGCGATGATTTTATAAGCAAAACAATGCAGTGGCATTTACGTGAATAGAATGAACTATTTCTGAATTTAAATAAAATCAATTTCGGAATAATTAAATGGCGAGGACTACGGGTTCTATTTGGCAAAACCTAGGGAATCTTTAGCAAATTGACCCTTGAAGGGGTATTAGCCATCCTGGGCCTTTGATCACGTGATGGGACGGCTAGGATTAAATCAGGGGGGAGAAGGAGGCGACTCACGGAGGCAAGCCGACGCGGCAAGCACCGCCATGGTTGGTGGCGAGGAGCTCACCGGCGTGAATGGATCAGGCCCTACGGGCCATGGTTCTCAATCCGAGACCACGGGAAGATGGCGAGTTCACCCCGGGACAAAACACGGCCATGGATGGATGGCTCATGGCATGGCTCGCCATGATTGGCGGCGAGGAGGAGCTCGTCGGCGCATTTGTCTAAGGCCCTAGAGGCCACGGTTCGACAAATTGAAGGCACGAGGGAGAGAGAGGGGGAACAAGGCGAAGCTCACCACGACTTCAATCGGGCGAGGATGAACCGGAGATGATGAATGACGAACAATGACGGCTCATGAGCTCATGGTCTTCCCTATTCTTTGTGGTTTGGTGCTACGGTCTCAAAGAAGAGAAAAACTGCGCAAGGGGGGCATGATGGGGTCAGCCCTCTTTTCTAGAGAGACCGACGACATGGACGAGGCGCCCACAACGCAAGTGGAGCGGGCGGTTCCGCCTGACTGCACGCATAGCGTGGGCAATTTGGAGGTGAGAGGCACGCATGACAGGTGAGCCTAGGTCATCATGGCGAGAGAGAGGAAGAAAGGAAGCAACAGCGGCCCGCTGGCCGAGCTGGGCCAGCCCACGAAGGGAAGAGGGGAGGGCGTGCGGCCGCGGGGAAGGAAAAATTCCTTTCTTTTTCCAAACAAATTTTCCAAACTCATTTTCAAAAGTTTTTTAAAACCTTTTAGCATTTGAAACAAAACCACCCATCACAGAAATAAATTTGCAACAGCATGAATGCATCAACATGTTTCTATCCTTATATTTACTTTTAATTTCATAAAAAATATTATTTCCTAAATTTGAAATGCACATATAATTGCATAAATAAATCAAATTTAACTATTTTAAAATAATGCAAATTTTAGGGTATTACATTTTCCCCAATGAGTTTTCCGAAGGTTCATAAAAATGCATAATAGATGAACAGTAAAGACTATAAGGAGCTAATTGATCAAGCGGAGTGTTGAGAATTATTATTTAGTACTCAATTAGGGATTATTCTAGGGGTGTCTTTTCACTCTCTCTCTCTCTTTCACACTTGTAACATCCCCACATGGGCCCTATATATATGTACACACTGTTCATTGGAAATACAACGGAGACCATTTTGCATCTACTCGCTTTGTCTCGTTCTCTACTTTCTAACAAGTACCACACTTTTAGTCAAGGCTTGATCAGGCCATAAGCCTCGTCCTATCACCGCCGGTTCTAGGAACCAGCACCGTCAATTACCCTTTATTGGGTCTGATTCCAATAGTAACCAGCATTGTCGATTACCCTTTGTCGG